TAACACTCCCAATTCAATTTTCATTCTTCTCCCTTTTTAACCATTTTTTAAAAAAATGTAGGAGAGATAACATTTGCACAAAAAAACCCTGGATTCAAACATTTTTTAGTTGGTTTGTTTGTTTCCCCTAACTTTTAAATTGACATTTATACCTGGTTTGGCCTTTTTAAACTGAATTAATAGATCTGTAACACAGATTAAATAGAGGTAGCACATCTTGCCACTACAGCATTACTGATATAAAGAGTACTTAAACACTGCTGCTTTGCTGAGGCTTTCCCAAATTTGAAATTTGAAATTTATTTTTGCAAAATATAATAAACACTTGTACATGCTCAGAAATTATGTTAGGAGAGAGAAGTAGTGTAAATGTGCCATATTAATCTAGTTTAAAAGCTACAAATTTACTTTAATATTGATTTTTAGAAAGGATATTCTGTGCAGCACAACTATAACTTCTTTTGGAGAACATTTAAGACTTTTACCAGTGAAAAACAGTGTGTAGCTTCAGTGATAAAGCAAATACTGAGTTGTTCAACATTATTACAATCATACAGATTAGAAGTCCAAATAAAAAAATTTCTTCCTACCAACTCCAACCAGATGTCAAACTGTCAAACCGACAGAAAAAGTTAATTCACACCAGTGGGCCCCTGCCAAGTTCAAGCCTCTGATGAGATCTTAAGGACTGTTTGTTTTGCTGCTGTCAAAGGTTCAAATGGGGAGAAGACGGAGGTTTTGATGACCCTTGGCCCCTCAGGTCCTTAGTGGGTGTTCTGCAAACACTCCCTATTGATGTGTGGATAAGGAGAGGCCCGCTGCCGCGCACAGTGCTCATGCTCATTTGAGTGGAAATGGACACCGCTATGAAAAGAGCCAAGAACCAAGCAAGTGGCTGAAAAGGATAGAGTATAATACACATGTAAGGGTGTCATGGTTGCTGTGTGTGGTGTGTGGTGTGTGTGGTGTGTGTGTGTGTGTATGTGTGTGTGTGTGAGAGACTGAATTTTCTTTTGTGAGTGCATTGGTTTTCAAAGTAGGAGAACTTCTACAGTACATGAATATTATGAATATGAATATTTGTGATGTATTTGAGTATCGAGCACACAACACCGGTACAGAATAACAAGAAAAGTGTATTAGTGAAAGAAGTTTTTCTGTAGCTGCTCTTCTCTTAAGTTGAGAACTGAAGGAGAACGAGAGCAGAACCAAACATACTAAGGATGGGACACCAGTAGGGATGTCACAAGAACCGATACTTCGGCACAAAGTTGATGCAAAAATTCTGAAAATGTGACAGTACTTGTTTTTCTACAGTACCGTAGGTACCAAACATGTACTGTAGATGTGATTCACACTGTACTGACGAGGGCAGTATAATAACCCTACAAGCGTCCTAGTCTGACATCAAAACTTAAAGAGAAGAAGAAGGCAGGCACAGTAAACAATAACAACAACACGTGGAATGGCAGCAGCAAGTGCAGCAACAGGTCCTAAAAATCATGCCAAGATCAGCAGGGACAAGTTATAGACGACCAAAAGCCAGTATACAAACTTTTTAAATGAATACTTATGACTGTCTGTCACCTTGTTAGTCAATTTAAACTACCGCTTGCGCACTGATTATATGGAGGTGTGTGCATGTGTTTTAGCACACTGTGTGTACACCAGCCTCTGTTGTTTTCTGTTTTTTTGCTGTGCTGTTGAATTTAGTGATGAGAATCATAATTTCATTGGTGTTGGTACCGCCTGCCAAAGGTCTGGTATCATGACATTCCTAGACACCGCTGCTTTTCACCATGAAATACAAAAATAATGTCTCAGCAAAATCCAGCCAAGCCTCCTCTTTCATAATAACCTGTGCAGGACATCTCCCTGCAACCTGGTTAGAGCATCATGGGAGAAGGTACCCCAAGTGGGGACAAGCAGTAAAACAAAAATGAACTAATCATGGAAATGAAAGAATAAGTAAAGAAATGAAATACGTAGCAAACATCGAATGAATGACAAATATTTAAATTAATATCTTAATTTAAAATGTCCATATTATAGGTATTTTATAGATATTATGACAATATATTTATTTCATTAATATAAATTTAACGAGAATTATTAATGTTACAAATAATGGAATCGTGAAAATTTTATTTTTATTGATGAAATTAATAAATTAGTTTGTCTTGGAAATATGGGTGTTCTGTGTGTGTGTGTGTGTGTGTGTGTGTGTGTGTGTGTGTGTGTGTGTGTGTGTGTGTGTCTGTGTGTGTCTGTGTGTGTGTGCATGATATGTAGGCCAAGCAGGAAGTGACCCATAAACATATCCATCCAGCTCTTTCATTGGGGGCCAGTGTTGCCCTCCTCCTCTCACCTCCTCATCCCACTCCACACACACGAACACACACACGAACACACACACACACACACACACACACACACACACACACACACACACACACACACACACACTCAAAGCCCCCAGTGAGCGCTAAGCAGGCCAGCGGGCCAGCCGAGGGGGCTCATTACAGGTCCACAGAGCCCCCCAACACAAAGGCCTGAGCCGCTTTAGCCATGGGATGATCTGCTCTCTACTGACTAGAGAGAGTCCATAGACGGACAAAAGGAGGGAGAGAGGGAGGGGATGGGAGAGAAAGAGGTAGCAGAGAGCAGAGAAGAGGAGAGGAGAGGAGAGCCGCGGGCTTTAAGGATGTCAGGAGACCCCGAGAGAGAAAGCCTGGCGGGCGCTCAGAGAGGAACGGAGGGAAGGAGGAGGAGGAGGAGGAGGCTTAAGCTCCACGGCCACGTCAGGACATTAACATTCACACAACCTCCCAACATCTGCTGCTTCCTTCTCGCCCTCCATCCCTCCCTCTTTCCATCCCTATCTCACTCTGTCCGCTAACAACCCTGGAACAAAGACAGTAGGACAGAGAGTGAGGGGACAGAAAGACAGAGAGGGACAAGAGAAAAGAAAATGTAGGAAATAAGTAGAGATGTGAGACTGATGATTTTATAAGCTTTAGGAGCAAGGTACTTAGCAGCCGCAGGTCAGAGGACTTGAGAAAAAAAAATATCCCAAATATTTGTAATTATTCAAACATGATTTAAATTAGCAGGAGCATTCAGTGATTACTCAGAAAAATGAGGAAAGGTAACAGAAAACAAAGCAGAAAGAAAATGATAAATCAGTCTGATTACTTAATGAAAACTGCTTTATCAAGTTCAAATCTGTTGTCCATTTGTATTTTACTGTAAGCGATATGATCACGGGCACCCGAAGGCCTGATACAGTCCAGCCTGGGTTCTCTGCTGAGGACAATCTTTGACTGAGCCATAAACCTGTTCTTTTGGAAGCCTCCAGGAAAGAGAGGAAAACCAGAGACATGTCCAGCACATTAAACCCTCTCCTCTAGCCCTGCGTCTGGCCCTGGGCCTGTGTCTGCACCAGTCTGGCCCACTGCACTCAAAGCCACATGCTCAATTTAATGATGCCTCACCACTATTAGTACAACATTAGCCTTGAGGTGGCAGGACAGGGAGTGTAGGGTGTCTGACATACATTAGAAAAAATATTTGAGCAAAGGAAAACTTCCATTTTTCTAAAGTGACTGTAAAACAAAAGTTTAATTGTCCCCACTCCAAAAATAATCGAAAATTCCCACAGTCCCACAACTATGTAGAGTCGATTCAAAGTATGATGAAATATGTAAAATATGCTTCAAAAAGTTCATATCAGTGAAATCACAGGAGGGGACTGCAGTTGTTCTTTGGACTACAGTACGGCTGAACAAGTCTTAAGTGTGGTAAATACTGTGGCTGCTGGGTGCTTTATAGATGATGTATAGATGCCTGGTTCTTTCATATATTTCCTGTGGTGAAATTAGAGCCCTGTTCTGAAGTCTTGGGCCATGTATGTGTGTGTGTGTATGTGTGTGTGTGTGTGTGTGTGTGTGCATGTGCATGACTGTAAACATGAAGACATCTTTCTCCACAGTCAATCTCTGCCTGTCACATCTGGCTCGCAACTCTACCCCTCGAATACACACTGGAATATATACACCGCGTGCATGGTGACATCTATGACTTATGTACTGTGAGGAGTGTTTGAAATTAAGCTGCAGTGAATATGGGCCCAGAAGCACTCAAAGCGGAGATTGTGTGTATGTATTTCTGTGTGTGTGTGTGTGTGTGTGTGTGTGTGTGTGTGTGTGTGTGAGAGAGAGAGAGATTGTAGTGGTGTGAACAGGGAGGGGTGCTGAGAGTCTGGGAAAACAACCATGAAACCCATCCAGGTCCACAGTGGAGTGTACAGATGAGACTATGGCTCATATACATATACAGTATATATATATATATATATATATACATATATATATATACACATATATATATCTTGATATCTACACGTTTTCATAAGTGGCTTTCCAATTAAATTTCTCTAAATGAACCAGGCCTTTAACTTTAACATTTGGAGTATTTGTGTAAAAATCATCACTGGAACATTGTACACATTGCGTACGGCTCTGGTGTTAGGCTGCCCTGTTTCATGGACAGAGTCACTACTAGTTTTAAATGTCTACATTGCGCAAAACTGGACAAGCTTCCAGTCATCTATATGCATAAATGTTGCTATTTTTACAAATATATTTACATTGTGTATACTTGCTGTCATGCATGTTTATGAATGAAAGCACATGTAGTTAAAGAAATTGTGTTGGATTGACAGACCAGCCAACACTGTCATCCCTAGAGCTACAGTATGCCACTAGCATGACTAAAAAGGTATACTGACAGAAAAGACCCAATTCTGGCTAGAAAATAAGTGATTTTGCACAGTTGATGCAGACTACAGACTGAGGCTACTTTACACAATATTCTCTCACACCACCTGCAAGTTAGGATCCATGAATGAGTGAGTAACCACAAACTGGTAAGTATCAAGACCCCTGGCACTTTTTCTGAAGCCCACTGTGACATAAAAGACAGAATTATCATCCACTTACCTGCAGCCTGCAGGACCATATGCATTCGAACTTTAGCTTGTTCTGCTGGAGTCTGCAGGAGACCGACAAAGATAAAATAAAACAGAAAATTAGTCAACAATAATAATGCAATATACTTATCCCTCCAACACAGAGTTTCTCATTTTTTCTTGGTCAGAGGTGAGGGGCAGCTACAGAATAGAGTCTAGAGCTGGTAGGGGCTCAGCGTGTTGCTTGAGGCCACATTATAGCCACTTGTTAACTCAGAGGCTTTCCAAATCGTCCTCTTAAAGGATGATCTACCTGTTAACATTGCCACTCTAGTGCCTGAGAAATCACAAAGCACAGTTCATGACGGGACAGTCAGCCTCCACACTAACACAACTTTATCTATGTAATCTAGCTCTAAAACTGTTGCGTCCCTTAGGCTGAAATATATTTTACCCATGATAATCTTTAACTGCAACCATTAGAGCGAATGTTCCCTTAAACTGTCCTCATGGAGCACCGGGGGACAACTTCACCAAGCTGCTAGTCTAGTCGTCTCTAAAAACCCTGCTAGTAAAAAACAGAAAGCAACAACATCTCTGACACACCAGGGAGAATCAATGAGGAAGAGATGAAGAGAAATTTAGAGACAAAGAGGGAGAGAGTAAGAGAGAGAGACAGAGAGAGAAGGGAGAGGAGAAGAGAGAAAACAAAAGCTGCTGTAACAAGTCTTTAGAGAGTTGGATAAGAGGGCACAGAGAGCACATTTTACAAAGATCACAGCCAAAGACTCAACATATTCCCCTTCCCATCGTGTGTGTGTGTGTGTGTGTGTATGCATCAGAAACACTTAGCGGGCATGAACGGGGGGAGGGCCTTGTGCTTTGACAGCTGTATTGGGAGGTGCAGCCCTTTTTCCTGACATGCCCTCAAAAGGGCCTTGCTGTAATTCCAATATCACTGCTATTAGATTTGAGGGTCTTAATTGTCAAGGAAGAATGATGGCTACGACAGGGCGTGGAGCTATAAAAGGCGAGCACGCTGCAGATTGCTCTCGGAGGTTTTTCGGCGCTGCCATGGCACGGCGGACCTCGTTACCATGCAGCGGCGGAGACTGTGTGTAGGATTAGAGAGAAATTAAATGCTAATGGGGATGGGATCTGAATCGGCTGCCTGGGAGCATCATTTAGACGACAGGGCCGGGGCGTCGCTGACAGGCAGCGCTTCCTCCTCCCTCCTCCTCCTCCTCCAGAGATAACCCGGCTCTTCCTCCCACCATTCCTTCGCCTGGCTCCCCACCCACAGCAAAAAATCTGATTTATCAAACTGTAAACTTGTCACTTTGTAAAAACGTCACTTTTCGGTGGCAGTCAGGGAAATATAATGACCCCCTTTAATGTAGCAATGTCAGGGTGCTGTATCCTAGATGGAATGCACATCAAGGCACTGCACAGACACAGACTGACACACACTTAATGCAACAAGGATATGTGTGTGTGTGTGTGTGTGTGTGTGTGTGTGTGTGTGTGTGTGTGTATGTGTGTGTGTGTGCATGTGAGTGTGTGTGTGCGTATCCCCTGTAGCAGGTGACATAATGGATCACGCTCATACTGACTCTCAATGCTCGACAGCTGAAATTACCAATCACTATTATGTCGGAGAAGAGGAAGAAAACTTGAGGCCTTCACCCACACACAGACGTATACACACACACACTTTCTATTCCCCTTCATGAAGAACTGATTCAGGCACATTTCAGTCTATTTTTTCTTGCTTTTTGGCATCTTTGCCTTTATGTGAACAGTCTTATAGCAAATGGAGGGATTACATGCCACAAAATAAATGTCCTGAGTAGGATTTGAACCCATTTAAATGGTACTAGGCTTAGCCTGCTAAACAATTAGAACGACAGGGAAATCAGTCTTGGTACGACGAGTCATTTAAAGCAATAACACATCACAGCTTAACTAACCTGTGTGTGCACAATCATCTTAGTTACAGTTTATTACAACGCCCCCTCAATAATTACATTAGCATTTGTTTACATTGGCCTTGAGGCATGTGTAAGGCCATGCACACACACACACACACACACACACACACACACACACACACACACACACACACACAGACACAGATACACACACAGCTCCCTGCTCTTGAAGGGTAATAAGACACTGAATCACATAAGACAGGATACTGCTGCTGTGTTGTCTGTTGCTGTTGAAACTTTCAACCAACTTGCTTTTCTTACACCACTAATCATTGACGTCAAAGCAGATATTTTGTATCACCGGTAAATAGAAAAACACCTGCCCTAATATCAAGGTTTGGAGTGACGTTTTATTAGGGTGTATTGCAGTAGTTTTTTGCAATGTCTGATTCTGCATTGAATTAGCCTTTTAAGGCTGCAACTAACGACTATTATCGATTAATCTGCAGATCATCTTTTCAACTAATTGATTAGATTAATCCTTTTGTTTATAAAATGTCAGTAAATAGTAAATAAATTCTGATGTGATTTTTTTTGAACGACCAAACGGTCCGAAACCCAAAACATATTCAGTTTACTAAACTTAATCTTTGATTTTTCTGCTTAAATAATTACAAAAATAATTATTTGGTTATCAAAACAGTTGTCAATGTTCTGTCAATTGATTAAGTTAATGAACTAGGTTAATCAACTAAGCGTTACAGCTCTATACTCTTTAAATAAATGCAGAAAAGAGAGAGAAAAAAAAAATCAGGGCAAGTGTGCACTTCCTGCCTACAGAACTAAATGGACGCTGAGACAGGTTAATTAAGTTCTAATTATCGACACAAGTAATGTAAAAGGTACTCACAAGTCAGCTCTCAACTAAGCAAACATAATGACACACAACCCACACACAAGTACACACATGACATTTCATGTTTTTGCTTCCCAACAAACTCTATTTTTCACTCTAATTTGCACATGCACGCCCGCTTCCTCTGTGTGTAATTCATTAGTAAACAATAAAAAGGCGTTAATTGTGCTCCCCAGAGGCAGATCTGCGTTCCCCCCACTGGGAGAGAGGCGCCCGCTGCATCTGAAGTGGCTTCGCCCCACAATTAGAAGCGTGCCTTTTCGACACACACAAACAAACATGAGACACTAGGAGGAGGACTCTGTGTGTGTGTGCGTGCGTGTGTGCGTGCGTGTGTGTGTGTGTGTGTGTGTGTGTGTGTGCGTGCGCGTGTGTTTGGAGTGAGTAAAGTGGGAGTGTGTATTGGAAATAAGCAGCGCTTTCCTTACACCACGTAGAAAGGGGGAAACAGGAGGAGGGGGACAAAAGACAAGACAGACACAAAGTTGCTTTTGTTTTCTTCAGAGCTCAGGAAATATGGCAGACAAAAAGAGGGAGTGTGTGAAGAAGAGGGGAGATGAGGAAGAAATTAGAAGATGACAATGAAGAAGGATACGGAAATAGAGGGGACCAGAGACAGACAGGATCAGACGTAGCCATCAAGAGAATCGGTTTTATAAAGTAGAAATGTTCAGACTTTTATTGTTAAATGGTTGGTTCTTACAGAGCCATTGGTGTAGTAAATGGTCTGTACTTATATACTGTGGGACCATTAATGTAAGTACAGAAAAAAGTGTCTCTCCTTCACCCAAGCGCACGCACGCACGCACGCACGCACGCACGCACGCACGCACGCACGCACGCACATACACACACACACACACACACACACACACACACAAACACACACACACACACACACAAAGATAGATGATGAGCTGCTGTGCAAGAAGTAAGTCTGATCATTGGGAGTAGTTTAGGGTTCAGCGTCTTGCTCAAAGACACATGTAGACAAGAGGAGGAATCACAAACCCAACGATTAATTGACCATCTGCTTTACTAACTGAGTCACGGCCGTGTTGCCCTCAGCTGAACTCACGAAAAGTTTTGTAAAGAATGAAAAAGAGGCTTTTAAAGAAGTTCAAACCCTGCCTACTTTCCTTTCCTCTGCTCACCCTGCCACCATCCGACCAGCACCTCTGGTGGAGCATACCAACGCCTTACATGTTGCCCCCTGTTGGAATATCCAGCAATTAGTATTTCACTTTAGCTTTGAGATATCTGTCTTTTGAGCTTTTGGGCTGAAACACTTGACAAGAGCAGGAACTCTCTCTCAATGTTCTATGTGCATTTATCAAATCCAGTCATTCACGTGTCGTGCAGGTGCAGGAATTTTTCCCCTCTCTGTCTCACGAGGTGTAAAGGAACACCCTTTTATAAACATCCTCCTTTTCAAGTAGCTGTCATAAAAGTCTACTATTATTGGGCTGTTATTGCCAAGACCTGATACCCACACCCGCTTGACTCAGGCTAACTCTTGCCCTAAATGTGACAGGAAGTCCAGTACACTCACAGTAGGCCTCCAGCTTGTTTGCTTACCTCACCACAGCGACGACAGACACGCTGAGATACGCTTAACTGAGCCTAAGTGCCCAGCGCCCATCCCATTAGTCAAAAATAAACATGTCCCATTAGAAAAATAAATAACCCTCACGCCACTTGGTAAAAACAATGCTACACTGTGTATACACTGTGTATAATGAGGCACGGCAAGCAGCAAATTTGATCTATTTCTAGTCATGCTCTGGTCCAAGGGGCTATTATTATCATTATTAGGCCTGAGGCCAACCAGACAAAGCAAAGTATGGTGGGTCAGCAGATGAATTAATGCCTGTTAGAGCAGACACAGAGAGGCCGAACAAAGGTCAGATAGGCCGTCTCTGGCCAGATTGTGGTCAGATGGTCGGGCGACTGTCTTACCAAATGATTTACTCCGTCTATCAGACCACACAACAACAAGACTGTGACCAGAAACAGAGAGGAGAAAAAACAGAAAAGAATAAAACTCCACTGCCTTTAAGAAAGCATAAGAGCAATGTTTAACAGCAACACATAAACACACTGCTCTGCTTTAACTCACTATTACTTTTAGTCGACATAATCTGTCTATCCCTCTCATTTTACAGCATGATAATAACCATATTCAGTTCAAGTCATTCTACTAGGTCAACTGAGTAATGAACAAAGACCCAGAAAG